GGGGGGGGGGGGAGGCAGGCCAGGCGGGAGCATGCATCTGAGGCTTGCTTTAATGTGCCTCCAGAGCCAAGCTGGGGTGGGCGAGTCAAGGTCAGAGGGGCCGTGGAGGGCTGGATAGAACAGGGTTTTCTGGAGCTCTTTCATTTCTTAGAACAGAACCAGGGGAGATGGCATGTGGGAGGGGGAGGCACATGGCTGGCTACAAGGCCTGGCTTCCACATTCTGACTTAATGAAATCTCACCGTTGCCCGCCATTAGGACAGTGAGAACCTGGGTGAGCGGCTTGAAGCCAGGACTCGGTCTCTGTGCATCTTCACCTAAGAGTTGGCATGTACCAGCCCCAGTGTCCTTCTCAGGATTCGGGCTGGATTTCAAGAAAGAAATTGGGAAGAAGTCAGCAAAGCGGTCACTGAAGAGGAAAGAGAGGATCGCGCCAGACTTCCAAGGTCCCATCTTGTCCTCTGAGGAGGGGGAACTGCGAAGAGAAGCAGATCCCTTTGATACCAAGAAAACATTTACGCGGTCACAAGACACTCAGCAGACTCGGGCTGAGCATCTGATGACTCCTGATTACTTCTAAAATGGGCTTGCGAGCCCGCCAGCTGGCAGACACATTTCCCTCCAATCATTGTCCGCTGTTCACTTTCCTTATTCTCCAGTCTCTGGTGCCTCACAACATCCTTACAACAGCAGAATTACTTTGCCCACAAGGTGATTGCTGAACCAAAACCAAAACCAAAACCCACACACAAAAACTTTCTTTTTTTTTTTTTTCCAAGTCTTGGGGTTGGAACCCAGGGTCTTACATGTTAGTCAGTCTGCCACTGATCTGCCCCTAGCCTCAAACCTGTTTCCTTCTAGTTCCAGGCACCTGGGCTCTCTCGGGTGGGCTGTCCACTCTCACACCCAGCAGCAGGCTAACCTTGAACCTTCACGACCTGTCCTGCCTGCCTGCGTGAGCGCTGGCTGTGGAATCCTGTCAGTGTGAGGAGAGCTTCAGCTTGCTCACCACGTGTGTTAGTCACTGACTTCTCTTAGTCTCCATTTCTTCACCCATGAAAGGAATGTCTGCAGTATTTTAATGCAGCTGTGAACATCAAGCAAGAAAGTGTATCTGGAAGTGCTTTGTAACTGGAAAGTGCCTCCAAGTCAGAAAAGCCAAGCATGGTAGCACATGCCAGACACCAGCACTCCGTGTCGGATGAGGGGTAGGCTCACCTGGGCTACTCAAGACCCCACTTCAATGAGCAATGCATTACTGTTGATTACAGCTTCTCATGGCTTAACTGTTGTGCCTTCACATTTGTCACCAGGTTAGAATTGTTTGGTTTCTAGTTTTAGAAAAATAACCTAAAATATAAATGATTGAAATAACTCACTTCTCTCTTATATGAAATCTGTCCAGAGCTGTGATAAGACTCCATGGTATCAAGGATCCAAGATCTTTTTATCTTTTTGCTTTAGCCATGGGGAGCCTCCATTCCTAACATTGCCTTAGTCCAAAATAGCTACATAAAATCCAGCCATGGACTGAGGAGATCAGAGAGTAACGACTGATCGAGCCTCATGACTTGAGTTTGATCCCTAGAACCACGTGGATGGAGAAAACCCACTCCCCCACTCCCACAAAGTGTCCTCTGGCTTCCACACATACCATGGGGTGTGTGTGTGTGTGCACAAACATAAATGAAGATAAAAAAGTTAAAACCAGCCATTATATAACATTCCAGTCAACTCCTTGGAAAGAATAAAGACCATGCCCTCTGCCTTCCAAGCCACCCCTGGAAATTCTGCTGCTCCTTAGACTTTATTGGCCAAATAGCCACCTTCAGCTACAATGAAGGCTGGGGGATGCGGTTTTATTCTGAGTAACCATGTGTCTAGATTAAAAAAAAAAAAAAAAAACAGAGGGGTCTAGTGTACCAGGCTTTTTCTTTTAGGTCACCAACCAGCTCCCAAATCATGACATGGAGACTTCTTATTAGTTATGAATGCTCAGCCTAGCTTAGGCCTGTTTCTTGCTAGCTCTTTTAACTTAAATTAACCTGGTTCTCTTTATCTACATTTTGCCTCTGGGCTTCTGACTTGTCTTTCCTTCTGTGTATCTTACTCTCACTGCTTCTCATGTCTGGCTGGCTGGCAGCTGCCTGGCTCCTTGCCGGACCTGTCTGTCCCTCTCTTTCTCCCCTGTTCTCTTCTTTCATTCCTCTTGACCCTAGATTCCTCTTCCTACTTATTCCCTCTGCCTGCCACCCCGCCTATCATTTCTCTGCCTAGCTATTGGCCATCCAGCTCTTCATTAAATCAATCAGGTGCCTTAGGCAGGCAAGGTGGAAAAAAAAAAACGCAGCACATCTTTACATAATTAAACACACATCCTTACATAGTTAAACAAATACAGCATAAACAAATGTAACACATCTTTGCTCAGTTAAAATAATATTCCACAACAATCTACTCCTGTTATTTGAAAAGGAGGTGGCAGTCTCTGTCAGAAGTGGTCACTTCTCCATCCTCATCTCCCTGTGAGCAGCAGCAGGCCTCCCGTGACCCCAAAACAGTTCCTTTACTACTGAGAGCAAATCACACTCCTGCTTCTCCTCCTCCTCCTCTGTCTGTAAACGCACCGCGTCCCAGCACAGGGTTGGCCAGAGCTTCTCTTCTCAGCCCCGACTCTCCTCTCAGTCATGACCCAACTCCTGACTCAAATAAGAATCTGGGAGTCTGTCCTTCCTGAGTCTGGCCCAGGGAGGAAGGTGCCCACCAAAAGGCAGGCCCTGTCATCCAGGCGAGGTCTCCTGCCTCCCTGCTCAGGACAGGGAGCAAAGGGAGAGAGTGCAGCAGGTACAAGTGGGGTCCTGTGTCAGCCCCTCTGAACCCCAAACTAGTTCAGTTTAGCACAGAACAGTAGTTGATGCGAATTCGGAGCTTGGTAGTCTTGGGAAATGAAGGGGTATTGACTCTTCAGCATGATGCAATGGGACTTCTGGAGAAAAAAAAAAAGGAGGAGGAGGAGAAATGAAGGTGGGAGGGGTAGAAGGGAAGTATTGGACTGTTCTTGGGAAACTGGGAGTGGGAATTTAGATTGGCAATGATCAAGATATATTGTATACATGTAAAAAAATTGTCAAATAATAAATTAAGAAGATTACTGCTAATAAATGTGCAGAAAATGGATTTCTTGATCCTTGTATGGGAGAACTGGAGCCCCACATTGGGCATAGGACATGAAGTACACTCTTTCAATGTCATCCAATTCCTGTTAACATAAATGCCCGCCACAGGCACTAATGCTTTCCCATGGAAGAAGGGCCCCCTACACAGGATGGAATGTGCTGGAGAGCAGACAAAATGTCCTGGCGTCCAGGGAGTGTTGCTGCTGGGTGTGACCTAGTGAGGAGGCACATGGGCTCATCAGTCATGCCATTCTGATTTCTGTTCATAAGCTCGTCCTGAGCAGCTTGATCAGTAAGCCATTACTCGTGTGCCAAGGGCTAAATTCAAGCTCCTAAGATACTAAGCAAGTGTTCCACACCCTGCCTGCAGGCCTGAACCCATTACCCTTTCCTCAGACCTCTCTTCAAATACAATGATTCCTGAATCCATTTCTGTCCATTAAGTGCACAGGCTGTGCTTCTGAAAGCACAGTACTTAGAAGCTGAACAAAGAGCCCCCTGCTGGAGGCTCAGCGGAGAAATAGATGATCAAAGGTTTGCAGAGCCTGGGTAGTTTTGAATGCACTTGTTCTTGGGTAGCACAGCGATGCTGGCTGAACTTTGCCCCCAGTGCTTTCCAATCAGAGAGGCAGCTTTAACTGACAGGTACTCTGTAGTGTCTGAGGAATGTTGGCCGTGTACTGCACCCCGATCAGTAACTCTGTACCATGTCAGCATAGGACTTTTGGTGCTGGTCTGTTGTTCCCACGGCTCAGTGAGCCTTATTCATGTCCAGTGTGTGCCTCCCTGGTGTGCATGTGTTCCTTGTGTACCTGCTCCAATACATGCCGGCTGCTGGTGTCTGTGATCCACTGACAAGTGCAGAGTTCTGTCATTCATGTACAAAGAAATATGTGCAGAGGCCTTTGTGTTTGTAACAGACTTTACTGAAAATTGGTGAGGTGACATGGGCTTACACAGCAAAAATGCAAAATTACAGCAGACATCCATAGGCTTAAAAATAAAAAACCTTGGTCAGCTCTACCACCTGGGCTCTAGCCCTGAAGGAAGGCCACTCCCCATTCTTACGCAAGTAAACAAAAACCAAATTGCAAAGTTTCTTTGGGGGCTATCATCCTCTTTCACTCGGGCCTCCTCTTGATTTTGGGGACATCTCCATCCACTTCTTGCCCCTGGGACCTATAGTTCTCTATGAAGTGCTGTCCCCTCACTCCTCCAACATGTTCTGCCTGATCTTCATTAACTGACACCAATGTGGGCCTCAGCAGCCTCCCCTAGAGCAACCTTGACGTCCTCCATTTCTATCCCACTTCCCACAACCGACAGGTCTCCTCCTCTCCTCCTCCTCCTCCTTCCTCAGTCCAGTGGAAGCTCCAGGGATTATTGTCCATTTTACTCATTGGCATGCTCTCAGTGTCTGGCACACCTCAGAAGTTAAATATGCACAAAGCAAGTAAAAAACTGCATTAACAACCAAAGCAAAATAGCTGAGCTCTCCAGGCCTTCTTTTCTTCATCTTTCAAAAGGACTGCCGGGTTTGCCGGAGTCCTAGCTTCTGAAGAGCTGAGGCAGGTTCACAGAAGCCCAGACTTTTGAGACCAGCACAGGCAAGAAAGTGAGACCCCCATCAGTGACACTGTCAGAACCATGGAGATGCCCTAGTCAGGTCTATGTAATGCGAGCGAGCTCTCGTGGCATGGGTTCAAAGGCAGGCATGACCAAATCATGCCACAACAGGAGGTAACCACTAGTGGTATCTTGAAAAATTAGCCATAGGTGGCCAATAGGAAAGAGAAAAGACATTACTATTCATGGCGCCATGAGTGCTAATGCCAAATGGAGGAGGTTATGGGCAGTCAGGGAGTCAGGAAGGCTAGAGTCAGGTGTGGGGGGAAAACAGATGGAGAAGCAGAACCAGCGCCCCATCCCACTGGCCCAGGGAGCACCACACCAGCGGAGAGGCAGCTAAAGCTGCTTTCCTCTATGGTGACTCTTTGGACAGTAAGCAAAGCTCTTCAAGGCCACTGAGGTCAGGTGACAGAGGGGATGCTTGTGGCCAACACTAGGACCCAACATCATTATCAGCCTACCTCTTGTGCTGATAGGAAAGGGTTATGTCTGCCATTTCCCCGCAGCCAAGAGGCTGCCTCCATGCTACCCTCCAGTAGCCTGTATGAGGTGCCCAGGGCTGGCAGGCTACATGTTTCCTGGACTCCCACCAATCAGGATAGGAGGGGCAGGGAGAGGAAGACTGGGGCTCTTTGGGGACTGCAAACACAGACTCCTCTGTCTGCTCTGCAGGCAGGCCCATGCCACTGGCTCGGAGACTTAGTGCAGGGACCTTGGTTTTCTCTTCTCTCCTTGAGAACAGATCTCCATGAATACTAGAGTCATGCAACCAGCATGTGGCTCAGCTGGAGTTCATTAAATTGTTTTCTGATGCAGAGGGTGGGGGTAAGAGTTGGGGTGGTCAAGAACATGGATTAAAGGGATTGGGGAGGCTTGCTTGTCTTCCCCAACTAGGATAAGTCAGACTACTCCCATCTGCTCCTCTAAAAACTACTGGGACTGTTGCTCATGGGAGGAACACTTGCTCAGCCTGTGCCCAGCGCTGGGAACCACCCCAGAGCCCAAAACTACAGAAACAACACCAACAATTATTTCCCATCCCTCAAGGGACACCTATTTCAAGTCTTCCACCCTCTGATCTCTCCCATCTGTGGGAGAGAAGGCCAACTGTTGTGGGGACCACTCCACCCTGCTGCATAGCTCCCTCCCCTGGCTCCTCCGCTGGAGTCAGTTAGTACCAATACATATTTATTGGAACTGATGGGTGTGCTCAGCACTAGAATGCACTGTTCATTCATGAGGTTGATTAATTTTATACCTATTTTACAGACAGGGAAACTGAGGTACAGTGCAATTAAGTGCAGCTAGCTCTCAGGCTGCACACTGAGTTCTAGTGTGGTCTGAATCCAGAGCCCTTGCTCCTCACCTCCACTCTGCAACATCATTTCTTTGCTGCCCTGCTCACTTCTGCATCCTCAGAACACCGCTGTGAGAGCGGGGCACACACAAACACTCCCAGGTTGGATCTGCTGCTCCAGATTACTTGGACTACAGTTCCTACTGGGGAAGAAGATACCATAGAGCCATGAGGGAGCAAGAGAGCCAGACCCCAGCCCTCCAAAGGGAGGGGAGTAAGGAAAGGAGATCAGACCACTGTGGTGCAGTTTGCACCAAGCATTTTACAGATATCCTCTCCTGTTGAAAAGAAAATAGCTCTTAGAAGTCAGGTACTATGCAGAGAAAAGGGGTGAAGGCATGTACATTGTGATGGGTGAAGGAGCTTGCCAAGCTCAGGCAGCTAGAAATACTAGCACTGTGGACAGAACTGCTGAACCCAAATGCCTCCAAATACCACCAGGTTCGCTTTCTTCCTGACCCACATCAGGGAGCACAGCAACCCCTGGGGAGGACATGAGCTGGCCTGGCACTGGCTCCCAGAAAGTCACCTATAACAGGTCCCTCAGCTATGACTGAGTCAGGACACACAGTCCAAGAATTGGGCAGGACTTGGAAATCACTTGACTGCCATAGTATTTAACTTGCAAGCCCTTTGTCACACACATGGCTGCTGATGCCCAGCACCTACCTTAATATCCCTGCCCAGCTTTGGCATGGCTACCTTCTGGCCTCCCTACATTGATCTGGAACTAGTGTCCCAGCCATGATCACAGAGGAAATCACTGCAGGCAGAAGCAAGCTACCTTTCAGTAACTGTCACCTCCACACCTAAATTCCAGCCCTGGTGGAAATGCTGTGGCCTTTCTTGGTAGCTGTCTCAGGGCCATGGGTGCAGGCCTGGCTAGACAGTACACACACAATCATGCACAGCAGTCATGGGTTGATGGCCTACATGCCATTTGTCTTTAAGTCCCCAGTGTAAACCGGCAGCACCGGGTGCAGGTTATGGTAGCAGCACAGGGGCCCTCAGGCGTTGATTGCCAATATCTGGCGATGTTCCTGGGTGAGTCCACTGGGGCTCTCAGGTACGTCCTCTCCTCAGCTCTTCCAGCTCATACAGCCATTTCAGTTCCTTTGAAAACTGCAAGATACCTTGGGTTTATTGGGGGTCTGGCATTGCAGGACCAGACAGTTTGCTCCTGGTGGGAAGTCATGAGTGCTCTGCTCAGTATTGTGGAGACTTCCAGGGGTTGTCCCTGCAGAGATTCTAAGTCCCTGATAACCACACTCGTTTCTTCTCTGATTCTCTTTCTGTCATCAGCTCATAGACAGGGTGTTGAGCTCCAGATGTGTACAATGCACAGAGACCTTTCCTGCAAGCCTCTGTTGATGATTACCTACAGGGGAGACAAAGATATGATGGTCAAAGCCAGGGACAAGGAAGCCATGGGTGATCTCTCCACCAGACTGTACCTTGTGTGTTCTACTGGATCAGGTGCTCCAGCCTGTGAATGAAGGTGAAGACAGGCTTTTGGGAAGGGGACCAAGGGCTATGATTTGAGTAGTGGCCACGCTCAGTGAGCACTGAACGCTAGTACTGAAGCTAGGACTACCTACCCAACTTCCTGCTGGTTCTCAAATGAACCAGGAAACCCTGGTGGGTTCTCTCCAAGCTTGCTGGATTCTGCTCCCCTCTTGCTCTTTCCCCAGGGAGTACAGAATCTCCTGGGGAGGACATTAGTTGGCCCGAGGCCGGCTCCAAAGAGACGACCATACAACAGCTTTGTCTGCAGCATCCCAAGAACAGAATAGACAATGAACCCCTTTACCTCCAGACTAAGTCCAGGAACTCCACGGGAGGTGCCACAATCCAATTATTGTCAAGTAGGAGGAAAAAGCAGGAGGCTGGGGATCCAGGAGCAGAGGCATCCTTTGAAGTTGATGGGCAATAAACCAGGCTCTTCCAATTCAGCAGTGACAGGACAGGCAGATACTATTCCAGAAGAGAGAAGCTTAAGACACTTGGAAACAGTGGCAACAGATGAGATGGGGCAGGTGCTGAACATGAGGCTGTGGTGGAGGAGGGCACCCAGGGGCCTGAGTGATGGAACTTCCATGTACCTGAACCTTCACACACACACACACACACACACATACGAGAGAGAGAGAGAGAGAGAGAGAGAGAGAGAGAGAGAGAGAGAGAGAGAGAGAGAATAAATAGCAAGGAAGCAAAAGCCCAGGTTCCATTCCAAGCACTAGAAGAAATAAAACAAACACATTACATCAAAGCCTGGGATATGAGCAGGGCTTTGCTGGCAGAGGGCTTGTCTTGCATGCATGAAGATGAAGCTCTGTATTAGATCCCCAGGTAACACACAAAACTGCATGTAATTGTACAGTGCTATAATCCTGGCATTAGGGAAGTAGAGGCAGGAGGATAGAAGTTCAAGGTTATCCTCAGGCTACTTAGCAATTTTGAGACCATTCTGGGCTACATAACCTGTCTCTAAAATAATTTTTTAAAAAAATGATGCAAACAGTTTTTTGTTGTTACTGTTTTTCAGTGCTGAAGACTGACCCCTGGTCACACCTACTAGACAACTGTTCCAACACTGAGCTATATTCCCAGATCCATGACCACTTTTCAGCATTTGTGGAGTAAAAGGTGAGAAGGGAACAGACCTTACACACCCATTCTCATCTGCCTATGCCTCTAGAGAGCTGTGTGATTGGGGAAAACCTCTCCTCTCCCCAGGCCCAGCTGTGAAAGACACAGCTGAATTATGGACAAATCTCTGGACTGGCTCATGCTTTGGTCATGCTCCGGAAGGTGTAGGATGCCTGTAAGGAAGGTTTGGAAGGTGTCCACTCCTGCACATCCAGGCCTAGAGTAAAATCTGGTTGTTTCCTAAACAATAGGAGACAAAATTGCTGAGGCCCACGTGGGATTCTGGCACCTGCTTAGATGTACTGTTTTATTTTTACATTATATAGTCAAATACCTGACAGACAATGTCAGGAAATATTTATTTGGACATATCATTTCAGACCCTTTTAGTGGGACAGGCATGACGGAATATCCCACCACATTCCAGCCATGGTAGCAGAAGCCTCAGTTGGCATCTGGTCACAGGATGAGGAGTAGTAATAGAGAACCTGGGGTAGGTAAAAGCTTCCAAGGCCAGGGACCAGTGGCCCGGTGTCACCATCCATGCCCTACCTTGTAAAGTCTCCTTAGCTCTCAAAATAGCCACCAGCGTACATGCAGATAGAGCACTCATACAAAAACAAAAACCAAAAAAATTAGCAGAGGCAGGCGGATCTCTGAGAGTTCGAGGCCAGACTGGTCTACAGAGTGAGTTCCAGGATAGTCTCCAAAAGCTACCCAGAGGAAACCTTGTCTCAAAAAACAAAAACAAAAAAACCAATCTTTTTGTCTACATTTGGTTTGTCTGCAACTTCAGCTGTATTCCCACCCCTTTCCTTGCCCAATACACGTTTCAGATCTTCTTGTCTCACTCTTTGCCTTTAGCTCTCGCTGTAAACCTGGCGAACAGGCAGCAATGATGATGCCACAGCCGGAATATTACATTGCCTTGACATTTCCTCTCAAGTAAATCTGTCCACTGCCTTCTAAAATTCAGACTCACTCAAATACAACAGATTGTAAATATCCTGTACCAGAAGGTAACACAAACGCCTCGCACAATTCCAAGTACAGTCCTGTCCCCATCTGGAACCTATGAGCAGTCTCCTGCCTCCACTTCTAGAGGCATATCTTCTGGACCTTCATACTCTTCCCAGACCCATAAAGTCCACTCAGTGCACACTGGGACTTTTCTAGCTTGTACCTCCAAACTCTTCTATGTTACTTCCACAAGTGGGCTCCAAAGGCCTAGGAACCCCCTAATCAGGCTGATCACTGAACCAACCCACTTCACTGGTACCACATTTTTGCATTGGCTATTTTGCATCATTGTGACTTAACGGAACTAGAGACAGGAAAAGCTTATGTTGGCTCACGGCTTCAGAGTTCTCAGTGCGGGAAGACATGGGGCACAGGAGAGCTACATGTTCACATCCCGGGTGACCAGGAAGCAGAGAGTGTAAGCTAGAGCCAGGGTCGATATAACCTTCAAAGACTGACTACTAGTGCTCAATTTGTGGCAGCCAGGCCCCACTGCTTAGTCTCCGTACTCTTTAAAGTACTGCCACAAGTTGGGGACCAAGCATTCAAGACATGAGCCTGCAGGGAAAAATTCAAGATTCAAACCATAATAGATGTTAACACCTCTAGCAATGTGATCTTCAAGTTTGTCTCTGAGACATAGAATTTTATAACCGGACTTTGTTCTTGTTAATCTGCAAGCATGTAAACCTGTATTAGTAGTTTTCATCTTAATGAGTTCATGAGAACCTTTGCAGAGTCAGTTTTGATATGAAGAACCATGAGGACAGAAAGCCAGAACAGAGGACTGACAGAGAGCACACTGGGAAGTCCTCCATGTCCCCCTCTAGACAGCCTGTCACTGGTCCCTGATGATGCTCTTCCAGAAACGGTCCTAGGCGGGCCTTTCACCACATCTCCCCGCACCGCTGGGTTAAGTCACCATGGCTCTTTTCAAATCTCTGACTCAGCCACTCGCTCAGTTTCCTCTGCACCATCTTTCCCGCCTCTGCTTCATCCTAACTGCTCTGAGCATCCTCTTCAAAACACAGCTCTGACTGCACCACTAGTCCAAACCAGCCAGAGAGCCACTCAGCCGCCGGAGGGGGCATAGTTTGAGCCCCTGGCCTGGCTGGTGGAGCTTTCACCAGCCCTGCCTCTCGCCTATCTTCTCCATAGTCCTCTCCACGGCTCATTACTAAGCTCCAGACAAGATGTTCTTCCTTCCTTTCCTGGTTCTATTGAGCTCACCAGAAACTTGCCCTTCCTGCTTCCCTATCAGCAGCTTCATGTGGTGGTATTGTATTCCCCGAAATATTGTGCACCTAATAAACTTATCTGGGGTCAGAGAACAGGACAGCCACAATATTAAACATAGAGGATAGGCAGTGGTAGCACACGCCTTTAATCCTAGCATTTCAGACGCAGAAATCCATCCGGATCTCTGTGAGTTCAAGGCCACACTAGAAACAGCCAGGCATGGTGACTCACGCCTTTAATCCCAGGAAGTGATGGCAAGAAGAAGAAAGGTATTTAAGGTGTGAGGACCAGGAACTAGAGTCCGGTTAAGCTTCTAGGCTTTTGAGCAGCAGTTCAGCTGAGAGGCATCCAGTCTGAGGAAACAGGATCAGCTGAGGAACTGGCAAGGTGAGGTAGCTGTGGCTTGTTCTGCTTCTCTGATCTTCCAGCGTTCACCCCAATAACTGGCTCTGGGTTTGTTTTTATTAATAAGAACTTTGAAGATTCCTGCTACAGCTTTAGTTTATCAAAGAGCCTCAGTGATGTAGGTGGGCCTTGTTCAAGGCCATGCAGCTGACTAGTGATCGTGTTGTCGGGCCCAGGTCCGAGGGCTCCAGTCTAATGCTGCCTCAACCCAGCAGGTGGAGGAAAGTGCTAGATAGGCCAGCTCCCTGCCTTGAGACTCAGCAGTGGGAATGCTATTTCTGAAGCTCTGGGCCTTCTAACACTTAGGACTCTTCACCCCAAAACTTGGATCTACATTAAATTAGCATCTGCCAAAATTGGAAGAAGCACATAGCTATATTACAAAGGGCTGCATTTGTTTCCTTTTGTTCTGAGTGTCTGGCTTGTTCACTTGCTATTACAGACCAGGCTAGTCTCAAACTTGTGGCAATCCTCTCACTTTTGCCTCCTCAGAGCCAGAATTCCAAGGGTGCTCCACCACCCTTGGCAACACTGGCATTTTAAGGGTTTTGTTATGGCAGATTTATATCGGTGCATGTTTACCCCATTACTGTCTCTTGTTGCCCCTCCCACCAAGTAGCCCCCCTTCTACTTCTGTCTTTTATATGTGTAAATATAGGCATATATGTATTTGTATATATAAAACCTAGGTTCCACACAGGAGTCTGCCTTATTTGGCTATCACAGTATGGTCATTCTACCCGTCCTCCTGCAAATAACATACAAAAGACAGGGTGAGGCCTTGTCCACCACCTGCACAGCTGGTTTCAGATCACTGCCATACAGCACAGGCTGTACAAACACAGAGGCCGTGATTCAGGTTCTGATGCCCCAAATCTCCTGTACTGATAAAGACAGCACCAGAACCAGGTTGGGCAGGATCAAGAGTACAAGGCACAGGCAGTTCTATCCTCAGTGACCTCCAGGGGACACTCAGACACCATTTTTCTCTCCTATGGAGCAGTTTCCCTGGAGGAAGATCTTCCTGCAGGGGTGGGTGAAGGGGGTAATTGCCCAATGGGGCAATGCAGAGATTATGTAGCAACAAAAATGCTGAGAAGGACCTGCATTTACTACTGCAGATGAACACAAACAGGCCGAGTAAGGAAAGCAGCTATGGAACAGAGGAAGTATTTCTTTCAGAAGTATTTCCATGAGGAAATGGAACAGCAAATAGCTCAATGTACCGTGCACTAATTAAATGTAGCCAATAGGTGGAAGGAAAAAGCAATTACAACAGCATTCAGGCCAATAGTCAACCTCTGAAACAAACAGTCCCCTTACTAAACCCCCTCCACTCCCTACCCAGGATGGTTTCAGTCTCCCCATCCTGCCTCCATCATGACCCTCTAGGGAGGGCAGCTGGACAGTGTAGAGCAAGGCAGACAGGACACCTGTGAGTCTGGCAGATGTGGGTCGACCATGGCCTGAGTTCTTCCTGGGATAACTGAGGACCAGAGCCAGGGCTTTCTCTCCCACTAAGTCTTAGACCAATCCCAGGAGACCAAGTATGTCAGACTGGCCTGAAAGGAGCTGAAGGATGGTGTGTGTGTTCAGATTCTGCTGTGACTAGAAACATGGAGCAGAAATGTGGACCATGCCTTTTTAAAAATGCTAGGAGGGCCGGGTTGGTGATGGCACATGCCTTTAATCCCAGCACTTGGGAGGCAGAGCCAGGCAGATCTCTGTGTGTTCGAGGCCATCCTGGTCTCCAGAGCAAGATCCAGGACAGGCACCAAAACTACACGGAGAAACCCTGTCTCAAAACAAACAAACAACAACTACAACAACAACAACAACAAAAAAAAAAACCCTGCTAGGAGGAAGGCAGGACGTGGCAACTTGAATCTATAATCCTAGCACTCAGGAGGCTAAGACAGAGAATTGCCATGAGTTTGAGGCTGACTCAGGCTGTGTAGTGGATTACTGGCCAGCAAAAACTTGTTGCAAAAAGCTTTAAGAAAAAAAAAAAAAAAAAAAGGTAGCTGCCTGGGAATATAGGAGCGTCAAAGAATGAGGTCAGAGCCTGAAATGGTGCTGATTTGCAGACTATAGTCACCAGGGCCACGGGCTTCTGGTCAATGCCATCTTTAATTATCTGCTACACATCCTCCTATGACATTGTGGGATCTTCTTTTCTTCTTTCAGGTAGAATTCTTATAGGTAGTTCAGGCTGGGCTGAGACTGGTTTTCATATTTCAGCCTCACAAAACACTAGGATTGTGGGTATAAGAGTGGCTTGTGGTATATTTTTTTAATAATTTAACCTTAATTTCATGCTAAGCAATATAATGACAGCAAGGATCTGTGGAACTAGTTATAGATCTGTGAGAGAAGACATTTCAGTGGCTGTGGCATCTAAAAGACTTTTCTGTGCACCATGCTAGGGAGACCCTATACAGGGGGAAAAAAAAAGTTGTTACACCCACACACACAGGCAGTAATCCTGTCTTTGTGTCCTAGGAGCTACTCACAAAACTGGCATGCTTCCATGATCTATCTGCCCAGAGGAAGGTTCTTGGGACAAGAACCATGCTGCTCTCCACAAACCTCAGTGCCTGGCCCTCCTGGCCTTCAATAAAGGTTGTGTACAGCTGTTCCACTTCTTACCTCTGGGTGGCGCTAAGTGAGAAGAAGGATGCAGAGGAACCTAACCCTACTTACCCCTAAGTTCTGGACCTCATCTCAAATACACTCCAGGCCTTTTACCTTCCATCCTGGGACTCCCTTTAAGACAGACAGACAGACAGACAGCCCCGGGCCAGCACTGTTGAGGGCCATTGAGCTGAAAGAGGTGAAAGATTTTTTTTTTCTACTATGAAGGAATTTCTAACTGAGATCAAAGTAGATGTGAGCTGAATGAAGGTGGGGGATCCCACACTTGTCCCAGAAACTGCTCTGGAGCTGGGATGTAGAACCTCAGGAAATGGTGTTCACTTCCACAGGAGACTACCCCACTAGCATATCCACTAGTCCCTGGAGCCCACCATTGCTTCTCCCTGCAGGTACAGTCCAAGACAGCCAAGCCCCTTCACTGACCAGCCTTCTAAATGTCTTGCACCCTATTTGTGCAGATGGGCAGCTCCCAAACAGGACCTGGAACAGGTGTGGGGTATCAGGTGACAAATGAGCTGAGAGAGCCATTGCTAGCTGAGGAGATGGGAGGAGAGAGGCTCAGATTCATTGGTATGTAATGGTATGTGTCTGGGAGAAATGTCAGACCCAGAAGACCCACCTCCTCCTCTGCTGCACCTTGGTGCCATCTGCACTGGGGATAAGCCCGGGCATGCTGAGGACTACCACCACAGCCCCTCAGTGTGAACGCTAACTCTCAGTGGGGGTACAGGCAGCAGCTTGGGACAGGGGGAAACCAAAGTGGCCTCTGCCCTAGGCAGGTTCTCATTGGCTCTCCAGCCCCTGGGAGGCAGACTGAGCAAACAGGCAGGAGGAGAAGGCTGGCTGTGAGACAGGCAACAGTTTCTTGCCTGGACAGGTTCCCTTCCTAAGTGTGTGTGGCCAATCCCACAGCAGACAGTGGTAGGAGGAGGGAGCAGGCCAGGGGGCAGGGGACTTCCCATGACTGACCCAGACTCTCACTCTTAGCAAATGCTCCTCACTACAGTTTTCTGCCTTTGAGCCCCTCCCATGGGGACAGATGGAGGATGGCTGCTAAAGTGCCCTGGCCTCTGATTTCTCTCTCCTGATTTCAGCTCAGCCTCCCTAAGGTGACGGTGCTCAGAGAAGCCTGGCTTTTATCACTCAGAAGGTGGAACTCAGAACAAGCAGCTAAAACTCACTGCTCTGGGAGCTTGTGGTTTGTAGCTAGGGAACGTTAATGATTTTCATTATAAAAAGTCTGCTGTGGTTAATAACAACCATGTTAGAAAGATCAATAGGCTGTGTACAGCCAAGAGTAGTGTGTGTTAGCATGTGCAAGGCCCAGCATGTATACCACACACACACACACACACACACACACACACACACACAAAGACAAGGTTCCTTATCTCCCATCCCCACATTGATCAGACTGCAGATTTATGACCTTTGAGGATCCAGCTCACCTCACAGTTATGCTTTCAATTGTTTCCTCTCACATACCTTCCCCCACTTCTCTGTTCCTTTCTGTCTTTCCTATTCATGTGAGGAAATGGCCTATGTCCTCTCTGCCTAACAGAGCCTGGCCACTCCTAAAGCCAGGCACAACTGCTTAGAAGCAGAGGGTGAACTAAAGCATCCACAACACCAGCTCTCCCCTCTTTTGGAGAGAGCCGGCCACTGGGCCCACGTTGTAGGTGAGACCCGGGCTGGGCCCTCCATGCCGGCCTGAAGCCACCAGGAATGCTCTTCCCTAAGGGCTGTGCGAGCATGCTGTGCTGGAGCAGTAAGGTTTTACATCGCTGAGTGGCCGGGGAGCAAGGAGAATGAGAACTTGTGAGAAGGAGGCAGAGGGGATGCAGCTGCGTGGTGGTAGAGAGTTTGTCAGGAGCACATAGGAGGGTACGGGCCCATTCCCAGTACTGGAAAATAAACACGCAAATAAGAACAAACAAAAATGAATAGAGCGAGGGGCAGCGCTGACAACCAAGTAAGTGCTTCAGATAAAAACCAGTCCGGGTTGGCAGAAGTGAAAGGGGGTGGGAAGAGGGCTCTGAATGGGCCTCCCAGGCCTGGTGTCAGGCGTGGCCAATGTTCCATGGTTGAGCTCAGTCACGTGCCTGAAAGACTTCCTGCCCTCACTCATTGTCTATTGGCATGGCCTCCTCCCCTCTGCCCACCCCACCCCACCCCCCGTGTGTTCTAGGCCCTAGAATGAAGATGAGGGCAGTTCTGTGCCTCCCGGTCTCGGAGGAGGGCATCCTGCGGGCCAGCTCTAACCACCCACCACCTCCCCAGAAGTGAGGGGAGGAGAGCAGAACAGGCCACGTTTGTGGATGGGACTGCTTGAGAGGAACGTGGCTACCTCCTTTCCCGTGGCCTGGCCAGCAGCGGTGACAGACAGACAGACAGACAGACAGACGCTGCTCTCTCCTTCAGTTTTGCTCGCTAGGGTCTATCAGGGTTAACACTTCCAGACAGACAGCGGAGGGCTGACTACGAACTAGCACCAGGAACTCACGACTCAGGCGACACGCTCTGTGCCAGCCCCTCCTGGTCCCAGCACTCTTTTGTCCCAGTTTCTGCCCAGGCCCGGATGCCCCAGGCACCAGAGCTCTGGACTAGGGGTGTGCCTCTATGCAGGAGCCCGGCCTAGAATGGAGAAGGGGCTACCCCAGTGTAGAGAGAAAGGAGGGGGGACATAAGGAGAGAGGAAGGAATTGACCAAAAACAAGGGCCTCCTTCCATCCCCAGCCCTCCAGCCTTGGTCCTGGTCCAGCCCTTGGTTCCCACCAGCAGGGGCCTCTTGTGCGTGTCCTCTTCTCTCCCTCTGGTTACCTCCTCCACAGCTAGGGCACTGCACCCTCCCTTTCCACCGTCCCAATGCACTGAGTGAAGGCAGGAAGAAGAGACCCAGGGCTTACCCAGCACTCCATGAAGACCAAAGCATTCGGGAATCTCGGTTCAAAGAGCCCCTTGAGGCCACCCTTCTTCTCTGGGAATTTGTCAGATCTGGCGGATGACCATGGCTTCGACATAAGGGTCACTGTAGCTTGGGCTCGGCTGGCCGATGTGCATGACAGGTGCTTGTTGTACTGTGGACGGAAGAGTAGTTGATCTGACAGTGATGCCCAAAGGGTAGGGTAGGGAGACAGCCCTAGTGCCCCTCCCAATTATGACCTGAGACAAATGACTCCACCTTCCCCTACTGGAAAAAGGGAGACAGTAAAGGTTTGCTCTCACACAGGGCCTTCTGAGGAAATACGTATTTGATTAATAAGTCATCAGTTTAAAGACTAAGCTAGCAGAGCATCCTTTGGGCATGCCTGCCTCCTCCACATTGCTACTCTGATCTTTGCAGGTGACTGGTTACGCAGGATACCAGCCACTAAAAGGGACAGAGCAGGGCCAGCCTACTGTACCCTGATAATGTCCCAGAATATACAGATCAGACACCAGAGGCTCCTTAACTTTCTGTGGACACCTCAAAGCTAGGGAATGGAGGGCAGGAAAAGGGGAGCAGGGCTGGGAGGAGAGGACATCGGAATGAGGGGGGGGGGAAGTATGGGAAACGGGGAAAGCCTGAAAGCTGAGAGACAGAAAGGAAGCTTGGGGTAGAAAGAAAGCAGGACAGGCAAAGGGAGGCTGGAAAGGACCAAGGAAGCTAAGTTAAACCCTGAAAAGGAGCAGGTGAGAAGCCAGAGGAGAGGGCGGAAGGCAGCGCTTCCAGGATTGGGGACCTACCCTGCCCAGGGCGCGCTGGCGATCCAGAAAGCAGAAAACTCGTCGCGTGTCCAGAAGTTGGAGTTGGCCACACTGTTGCCGTCACTGGGGTCTCAGGGGTGCAGAGAGGTCCATCAGCTGACTCATACCCAACCCAGGGTGAGAGAAGGAAGCACTTGGAATCTGTAATACCTTCTGTGAGGATTTAGCCACGCCCGTAAGAGGCCTAACTGCGAGGGCCAAGCATGGGCTGGGGCGTGTGGGAGCAGCCTTCAGTGCAGAAGGGCTAACACCATCATTCAGTGGGCCCAGGCCTCGCCACAGGCCCTTATTTAAGGCAGGTGCGTTCTGGAGGGTCTCAGGTCAACTGTACTGGAGGGCAGCCGGGGTAGGCACTCCTCATCCAGGGAGGAAGAGAGTCAGCTGGTTAATCTTCACAACGGTGCAGAGACTCTGGGAGCAGGACATTTCTAGCTCACTGTTGCCTCAAACCCATAGAATACCACTTGCCACACAGGGCTGGACGAATGGACCAGTCTTGATGAAGTGTGCCCTCAGTACCGCAGAGGAGAGGCTCTCGGTGCCCCTAGGGCTTGTCAGGAAGGTGAGGCTTGAAAGCAGCCATGAAGTTCAAGTACAAGTCTTGGTTGAAGACAGGGAAATGCTAGCCCAAGCCTGACACTAGCAGGGCTCAGTGCCTGGGGCACAGCTATGTGAGTCTGGAAAGGTCAGAGAAGGTCAAATTCTGGCTGGCAGCGGCGGCGGTGGCAGGACACAAGAGTAAGCAGCCAGCCCAGGGTGCAGGCCTAACACGATAGGTTCTATCCTTAGGTCAAGGAGTTGAAGCAGGGCTGGGGAGTGGTCAGCGCTGCTTGTTGGCTGTTGTTATTATTAACTCGTTATACCAGGGACGGAACCCAAGGCCTTGACAAGCACTCAGGGCAAGCCTCCCATCACTGGGCTATACCCAGCCTAGCTTTGAGTTTTTGCACAGTCCTACTCCAGTGTGGGCCACAGCACATAACAAGCCTGGCCTTGGCAATTTTCCCAAGTGAAAGGTGAAGCCAGACCATGAAGTAAAGAGGAAAGGAAAAGGCATAATAGGATGGGAAGGCCAACACTTGGTGGCAGCAGCCTGTGAGGCAGAAGCCCGGCAGCCACTTGTGCCTTAAGCAGAAGCAGTGAACTCAGGCACAGGGTAAAAAAAATAAAAGAGGAGACCTAGAAAGACCAGTCCAGAAGAGTGGCCAAGCATGCTGAACACTCCAGCCCATGCTTAGCGCAACTGCCCAGTCTTTCTTCCCTTCCTTCCTACAGCCCCAGTGCACCAGGAACTGCTGTGTACACAGCATAGGAAACCCACAAGGATATGCAGATACCAGCTTGGGGGAGGGCACAAATAAACATGGCAATGAAGAACACCCCTGATAGACAGAGGTCTGCAGAGTTCGAGGTGGAACCTAATAAACAGCAGGTACCTGACATGGTTGGGGCAGGTAGGAGGAACCACGGCCCTGGAGGAGCAATCTAGCCACAGCCCAGAGGCAGAGCAGGGAGCACAGTGGACAGGACCAGGGAACACAGTGACTGAGTCTCAGGAGTCCTGCAGATCTACTGCAGAGCTCAGATCTCATCGTGAAGGCACTACGGGTTCCAGGAAGCATGGGAAGCCTGGAAATAACATGGTGAGAGATGCTTTGAGAATCTCAGGGAGCCGGTTAAGAAGCCACGGCAGTGATCCAGGTTGAGAACTAGGAGGATCTGAGTACAGACTGCATCAGCATGGACAGAGGGAAGAGAACAGAAAAGAGAACAGGACATGAGGACAGGCCCCAACTCTGTGATGCTCCCTGTGGGGGTGAAAGAAGCAGTGACCAGACACCAGGTGTGGCAGGAAAGCCTGAGAGGCCAGAATGTCACAGCTGGTCACTCTCCAAGGAAGGTTGAAAGCCTGGCCTGAACTGCAGTGTGGAAGTGGCTGAGAAAGCCTCTGGAGAGACGGTCAGAGCTGGTCCCCCCAAGTGTGTCCATGGTGTATGTAATGTACTGCAAGGTCTCTCGTGTCTCTGTTGGTGATCACCTGCAGGTGGAACAGAGATAAAAGAATCAAGGATATCAATGTTGCCCAACTATATTCTGAAACCTTGTGCTTCTAACTATCAGCCTATGGACTTAGCCACATAGCCTCAACCTGGCTTGGATTTATTGCAAGATATTCTTCATGGAAGCAATGTTTTGAATCCTGAAAAGTACCTACTGGTACCAAGAAGTGAGGACACTGATTAGGTACCTCATAGTCCCCAGGCCAGGGCATCCTTTCCCCACACATGTGCCGGTTGCCATGAAGCTTCAGTAGTCACTGCTCATGGGAACCATACAGGGCTTTCCAGCCTTCCCTGCTTCTTACCCCACATGCTCTCCTCAGCCCAGGTAACTCTCAACAACTCTGGTTTGTGGTACCTACATCTTAACCTGTCTAGGAGTGACCCCTGAGCCTCCCTGTCATTTACAGCTGCCACTGGATCCCTAACCAGGTCCCTCAGCCCCAAGTGGAGGCAGGGATTAAGGAATCGCCTTTTCCTATCTCTGTAGGTCTCCCAAGATGGCCTTGGTAGGGTCAGCTCCAAAGTTATCAGGGACAGGTACACTGGCCTGACGTGGCCACTAGCAATTGAGGAAGAAAATGAAAACATTTGCTGAAAACAGGAGGAATGCCCTTTAATCTAGAAAAATCCTGCAACAAACAAGTAGAATATACCGAAGAAAGCTCTCCCAGAGTTGGCACAGGGTCATTTCTGCTATTTTCTGTGTGCTCTAGGAGGACAGCAATGTAGAACTCAGCAGTGGCCTGTAGGGGCAGGGATGGCATCTTTCCCATCCAGTGATCTGTTTGCTGTGGCCAAAGTCAAATACCACAGCACCTTTAAGAAAAAACATCCAATTGGCTGATAGGCAGGCAGCAAGCTATATGGATAAAGTGGGAGAAGACTACACCAATGCCATGACATCCTTGGCTTGGGGGCAGAGGGCGGCACTGTCAACTCCAAGCCACTTTTAGCTCTCCAGAATAAAAGGACAAATAGCTTTCTTAGCCTTCCTAGTTTCTCACCCAACAGTTCTGCTGTCCCGCTACCCCAGAAACCCCTAATAATCTTAGTTTGTGGTATCTACAGTCTTAACCTGTCTAGACGGAGAAGGACAACCCACAGGGCATTCACCTCAAAATATTCACCAACCATCTCAGAAGTGGGTTAATTACAAATCTATAATAGTAATGAATTCAGACCCAGGAAGTGAAGTTCCTGTCAGGTCCCCATCAATGCTGGGAGAGCAGAACTTGAGTCTGGGGCCTCTGACCACTCCCCCATCCTGACACTTAGCACTCCTAAGGATGACTAGTTCTGAAGAAGACAACCAGCTATGGATCAGTTCTGGAAATTGCAGCACCATACCCACTCACTGGGAACTATCACCCTATGGCATCAAAACAAACCATTTCAAGACACTGCACTCCTGCCCCAGGGGTCAAAGAACTCTGCCGGGCACGCCTTTAATCCCAGCACTCGGAAGGCAGAGACAGGCAGGCTCTGTGAGTTCAAGCCCAGCCTGGTCTACAGAGCTAGTTCCAGGATAGCCAGGGCTACACACAGAAACCCTGTCTTGGCTAAAGAAAAAAAAAAAATCAAAGGATTCTGCAACCCCTCCCAACTCCCATGAGTCCTTCCTCATGGAAGAGCTGCCCAAGAGATGCAGTGCCAGTTCATCCTGAATCCCATCCACCCAGCAAAAGAGAAATGCAGGTCAGAAGACAGTGAAGAAGAGACCTGCTGGAAGGGGGCCTGTTGCCAGCTCCCAGTACTCCCTGGCACAACTTGCCCACGCTGCCTTCCCCTGTGTTGAGACAGCTCTTTGTACTTTCCCTACCAGATATTTGTGAGAATGACATCTGTCCAAACCTATCCTGGATATGTTCTGCTGTCTGAATTTAAAAAGAAAAAAAAAATGTCACCTCACAAAAGGTATCTCCAGGCTGTTGGCCACTGTGAATTCCTACAGAGAGCCAAAGGAGAAACTAAAGTCTAGAGTCTAAGTACACCTACACTGGGAACTGAAAACTATTCTAGAAAGAGTATTTTCATCAAGACGGTGTGATGTGTGAGTATAGATGATTAAGAGAAAATTACTGCAATCCAAAGAACAAAATCATCTTCCAAAAACCGATCTTATTTTCCTGAGATGCCTGTCCAGAGCATTACACAAGACTGAATGACACTCTTCATCCCATCTGATGACTGTGTCTAACTTAGCAGTATGTACCTCCAAGCATTCTTTGGGCTCCTACTTCCTCCAACTCAGAACTAGAAAATGAATTCATAAAAAATGTTTTTGCTGCTTGTATAATTTCTAACCAAAAGTCGCTGTAGGATATTTACAGAATAAATAATTTCATTTGTGGGAGAGGGCTCAGTCATATGTGACCCTAGAAAGAATGCCTCACATATGTCTTGCTTCCAAATGAATGATTCCCCTATGATAGGCTGGGAAATGAGGCAAATGTGGGTTTTGACGACCCATGCATTGGCTAGCTAAGGAAACATGGCCAGGGTAGGGGAAGCATGGACTCTGCTGTAACCCTCATGAACTATAATGTCAATCAGCCCAGGTGGAGGACTTCTGAACCCTGAACAATACTGACACCAATCATCCTAAAGATGCAGACATTCAAATGAAACAGCCTTCCGAGTCCAAGCCACTGGATGTTTCTGTAACATACAGAGAGGTTTCAATGGAGACACATCCCAGGGCCTCATCTGGCAGGTGCAGATTCAGCTATCTGTCCCCGCTGCAGCAACGGCAATGCTGTTTGGAGTCCAGCATCAGCTGTGTAGATACAAAGCTCTCCTACTTCTGGGCATTTTACCAGAAAAGGCTTACAGAAGCAATGCAGTGCTCTCCCAAATTATGAAGACTATCTGAAACAGAACCAGTCCCCCAGGAAAGGAGGGAACACATGTTACCATCAGAATTCACTCCCAGGCACTGACACCAGCAAGAAAAATGTCACTAATGAAGCAGTAAGGAGAAAGGTCTCTCTGCTGATAAAGGAAATCAAATGACACTTTTCACTTAGTCCAAGCCCAGGGCCACTTCAGTGGTGTCTTCACAGTCATCTGTCCTCCCAGAATCGTTCCGGGTACCAAACCTCGATGCAGCTACTCCTCAATGCACAGAGAGACGATGCCCTTCAGTGTTCAAGTTCCCATGAGTGCTGTTCAGGTCCCAACATAGATGATCAGAACTGTAACCAAATGGTCCTGTTTCAAAATTGATTCAAAGAAACAACATACATCTAGCTGTGAATCTGTTTGGTTTTTGTTTTTGTTTTTGGCAAGGAGTGAAAGATGATCTCAAATGGAGAAGCAAAAGCTTCGTACAATCAATCATGGCGTTGGAGGTGGGCAACAGCATTGTCCCAAATCCAAACACTGGTAGTCTTTTACTACCCTTTGGCCAGAGGGCTAGCCTAGCTCTTCCAGCTCATCTTTCCCAGACGCTTGCCCATCTGGGTTACCAGCCAGCACTAAGAAAGTACTTTTTCTCAGATTTCTGAACACTGGGCAGTTGAAACTTCCTCTCCAATAGATTGTACTTCTTGGACTGAAAACCAAGAAGAGTATCCCACTGACTTCAACAGGCCCAGACTCCTTTCTGGACTACTTGATCTCTAACCAAAGCAAGCCAACTGTCATCTGTAGTATAGTTAAAAAAAGAAAAGAAAAGAAAAAAAGATACTGCACAGTGTCATTTGCCAATGCATTCTGTAATTCTTCACCCAAGCATGCAGTATGACACGTTAGAAAAACTTGACCCTGATAAAGAAAGCTAAATGGAGGTAGGGATGTAGCTCAGGTGGTAGAGTGCTTGTTGAGCATGCACAAAGCCCTGGGTGTGATCCCCATAAACCAGGCATGGCGGTGTACATCTGTAATTCCGTCACTCAGGAAGCAGTAGCAACAGGATGAGAAGCCCAAAGATAGCCTCGGCTACTATGCAAAAGAGATAGGAGAGAGAGAAAGAACAAAAGCAGCCAGACCAGAAGAGAAGAATGTGTTCCCTAAAAGAACCTTCACCCTCCAGTGCTTCTGGGGTTCCAGAAGCTAACTCACAGCAAGAAAGGTGCAGACACCTCCCTAAGGGCAGCCAAAGGACCTGGAGCTGTGTAGATTGCCCAAGGGCACAGTTCTTATCCTGTCAGGACTCAGAGAAACCCTCCAGCTCTGTATTCAGCCAAGTAGAAAGAAGATCTAAGCCTTTCATGAAGTTCCCACAAGGGACAGGAAAGCAGAGGATATGTCCTCCTAACAGTCTACCTTAGAGAAGAGCCTCACCCAGCTCTGTGAGTGACTGGATGATGTGGCCAGCCTAGATATAGGACCTACAATGTCCAGTGATCATGTGGACAGACATTTACCCAAAGACATTTAAGCACAATACAAATCTGTTGTCTACAAGAACAGAACTAGGCTAATAATAACAAAGAAACTAATATTATGACCCCTTTCATAGTATAGCTGGGACAGGCAATAGAAGGAGTATCATTGTTAATACTCAGGACAGAAGAATTCTCTCCATTGAGATGATTTGACAAGCTTTTCATGCTAAAACTTCTATCCTCCAACATTTGGGAGGCTTTTTCTAGTAAAGCTTTAGAGACACTCAGCCTAGAGAAAGTACATTCTACAGATGAAGCCTGCCTATGTCAGCATGCTGTGACATTAGTGTACGGAGAAGACGATGACATTAAATGAGGAACTGGACTGAGTGAGAATAGACAGTGCAGAGAATGCATCTGTGTGCCACTGAACACTTTTAGTAAGCAGGCAAGGCCAAAGCATTAAGAAGAAAAGCATGTACAGTCATAAAGGAAATCATGCAAAACCTCTCCCTGGATGCCAGACAGTGGCCATTTCTGTGGCATCTGCTAATCACATCGCCACAAGATCGTTCTAAGGAATTAAGTTGGTTGATATAATTAGCATGGAGAAAACTAGAGTGATCCAAGAGCCACCGACACCATGACAGCATGGTTATTCTTTTTCTTTCTTGTTTTTGTTTTTTAAAACAGTCTCACTTATAGCCCAAGCTGGTCTCAGACTCACAGCAGTCCTTCTGCCTCAGCTTCCCAAGTGCTGGTATTACAGGTAAGAGCCACTGGACCCAGCGGGACATCACGATTTTTAAAGCAGCTTCTTTGGTTGCCTTGTTTTCCCTTCATGTTGAATTGATTTGCAAAAATTCCAGGAAACAGCTGTGAGGAGAAAGGGGGGAAATGTTTGCTATGCTTTTCCCAAAGGGGTCTGTGCTAAGAACAAGCTCTGGAAATACCTTTTCCTATTTTGAAAGTGGACTCTACATAGCATAAGCTTTCTTAGTGCAGAGAAAAAGACTGCTGTATGGATACTGGAGAAACAATGTCTGGGTGGCATGACTATGGGTGTGCCATGTTAGTAGTAATATTTGTACAATGAGAAGGGACTTTGGGGCACTAAAATCAGAGAGAGGAACGTTACACATCAGGACTTCAAAAGAAAGGCTCAGCTGTTATCAAGGAAACCAGGTGAAGGTTTTCACTAAGTTCAAGCCAGAGGCCAGTTCACTGGTATCTCCCAGTTCTCAAAGTGGTATCTCCATATCCTCCAAGTATGGATCCAGAAACAGACCTTTGATGGGGCTGTATTCAGATACCTCCAGCTCTACCCAGTGACTTGGACTTGTTTTACAGGACTTCTTTTGTCAGCAGACAAGATTTTTTTTCTACTGCTTTAACTGGTGACATTTTCTTTTTTTTAAGGAGTGTTTGGTTGCATGTGCCTGCATATGCCCTCTGTATACTTTTGCGTGCCTAGCATCCTCGGAAGCCAGAAGAGAGCATTCGAGCCTTTGAAACTGGAGCTACAGAACAGTTGTGAGCCACTATGTGGCTGGAAATCAAGCCTGGGTCCTCTACACAAGCAATGTTCTCAAATGCTGAGCCATCTCTCCAGCTCCCGTTTTCCCAGCGGTATCAGGTAATATATACTATCACTCTTCTCTCACGTATACAGGTCCTGTTACCAACATGTGACCAATATACAGCATCTGCCTGCTGAGGTATTTCTCTGCAGGCTGCTTCTTACACTTCCATCAGCCAGGGAAAGAAATTAGTCCTGAGTTATCCTTTCTCTCACCTCTCAGGGTGTGCAGTTGAAGTATCAGTTTAGAGGGTGGCAGGTTAGAGGCAAGGATAGAAGCCTCAACAAAACACCTACGAGGACTTCTCAGAAGGTCCCTGCCTTGGGAACTTTGACTTTCCAAAGTTCTGCTCTCTTTTTCCCAACTTGACTTGTGGTTTATAAATTGTTTAGATGCTATAAGCTTGTTTTCTCTTACCTTCAAGTCACACTAGTTTATCCCTCACCTGTTACTAAAGTAGCAGGTTTCACCAACCAGAGGGAGGGATAGAACTAAATTAGAAGTGCATCTCTTTCATTAGACCTACTCACCTCTAAGAAGTTGCTTAGAAGACTGTGATCTCCAGTCCATCATATAGACTTTACTCTCCAAGACTAGCTTACTCCAAATTATTTTTTATTAGTCCCCAGAAAACTGCCATAGCAGATGTTCTTCCTGCCTCCTAAGTAAGGTACACTGTCAGTTATATGGGCGTGGACCTATTTGCCTTGGTCACTGTAACTAACTTGTACAATTCTGTGTCTGGAAATTTCCTTTTTAACACTGGCCATGTCAATCAGGTGTGAAGTAAACTTTATCCCATAACCAACAATGTCCATTAAGATTTTTAGGTGTTTGTATGCACATTTTGGTGTATGGTGTCAACAGGAACTCCCTTTGTCCTCAGCATGTACTACTCTCAGGGATAGGGCATTAAATATCTTATGGGTAGATATTAATAAATATCTAAATGTCATCTGGAAGAAATTACTTTTCTACTTACCAAAACTAAGAATTCTAGCCTTTTCTTTTTCATACTGCCTAGTAGAAAAATCACCCAGGATATATGAATCATAGAAGAAAATACTGGCTAATTTTTTAACAATCATTTCCACTCTCTATTATTATCATTCATTCTCTAGTTCCCTGGTAGCCTTGAATACCAGGAATCTACAATCCCCATGAAACCCAGGAACCCAGCAACCCCAAGGCAGGTCAGACAGAATGTAATTTGAACTCATTCAGAGCTTCATTCTTGAAGAATTATCTTGTACTTTCTTGTGATGGTGGGCAATGACAGCAGGTTTCAGCTCTGTCAGCCATGCAATCCGAAAGGGAAATACCAGACACTCTACAGCACACTGTATTGTCAAGCCGTCATGTTTGGGGGCTTGCTGTACTAACTGCTTGCTTGCTTGCTTGTTTGTTGTTTGTTTAAGACAGAATCTCATTAGAGAGTTCAAAGTTGACCTTGAATTCATGGGGATCCTCCTGCCTCCTAATTGCTGGGGTTGCAAATATTGATACCACATCCATCTTAACTGCCTTTTAGATTAAGCTATTTTCAATTTAAAATGGACCTACAGAGTTGTTTACCCCATCATAAATGGAGGGGCATCTGCAGTGTTATTGCTGACATAATCAGTTAAAATGGGCGACACTAGCCACATATGCACATTTGTAATCACAGCACTTGAGAGGCCAGAAGCACGAGAATCTAGATTTTGAGGCCATCCCCCCTATAGTCCAGGCTGTCCTAAATTCACTGTGTAGCTCAGGCTAGAATCAAACTCTTGGCAAATTTTTCTGGATCAGCCTCCCAATTGCTGGGATTACATATGTGAGCTGGTATATGTGATCTTTCATTTGTTTATTTTATTGCTATGCTGAGCATGAAACCTGGGACCTTGAGCGCACTGTGCAAACACTCTACCACTGAGCCATATCTCCAGGCCATGACAGGTGTTCCCTAAAAACAGAAAAAGCTAGACACCTGTAATCCCAGCTCCTTCGATCCTGAAGCAGGAGGATTAGTTGATCTCAAGAGCTTAATGAAGGCCAGTCTAAGAAACATAATATGACCCTGTCTCAAAACAAACAAACAAGGCCGGGCAGTGGTGGCGCACGCCTTTAATCCCAGCACTCGGGAGGCAGAGCCAGGCGGATCTCTGTGAGTTCGAGGCCAGCCTGGTCTCCAAAGCGAGTTCCAGGAAAGGCACAAAGCTACACAGAGAAACCCTGTCTTGAAAAACAAAAAAAAAAAAAAAAAAAAAAAAAAACCAACCTACAGAGACAGACAGACAGAGAGAAGAGCAATGAGGGAAGGAGATACTTGGGGGTGACAAATGCAAGCCAAAGACCAAGGATTTCCATCTAATCAGAACCAGTTAGAGGCAAAGGAGCCCCAATATAGATTTTAGAAATTCCTATTGTAAACCCAATACAGGTTTAGAATATTCCTGTAAACATCCTCAGAACTTTCTGGGGTAGCAGATGCTGGCTATTGAACTCAGGCCTCATGAATGTTAAATATATTTATGCTCTACCACTGAGCTACATCCCTCAGGCCCAGGACTTGAGACAATAAACTTCTAGTCGGTGGCATTTAGGTATGGGAGCCCTAGTAACCCAGTGCAACTGATTTTAAGTCCCACTCTTTGGCCTTTTATATTCCCAGTCTGGTTCCAATGTATCCAGGTTGGACTTTTTTTTCCATGTATGTTGCTTAACCTTCTTAGAGATTTCTGACATATAATTCTAATGTTCAAAAGTTTAGAGAAGGAACTTGCTGAGTGTGGTGGCACATGGCTTTATCTCTATGACTTTGAGGCCAGCCTGCCCAAAGTGAGTTCCAGGATAACTAGGGCTGTTATACAGAGAACCCCTGCCTAGAAAAATGAGAGAGAGAAATGAGAGAGAGAGAGAGAGAGAGAGAGAGAGAGAGAGAGAGAGAGAGAGAGAGAGAGAAAGAAAGAGAGAACTCAACTTCTTTAAAAAGAAAACAAACCCACCTCCATTCTCTTGACTTTCCTTCCGGGGTTCTAAAGACATATAAAATTGGAAATGACTTTTGTTTAAATCATCCACTCTTTTTGTTTGTTTTTTGTTTTTCAAGACAGGATTTCTCTGTAGCTTTGCACCTTTCCTGGATCTTGCTCTGTAGACCAGGCTGGCCTGGAACTCACAGAGATCCATCTGCCTCTGCCTCCCAAGTGCTGGGATTAAAGGTGTGCGCCACCACCGCCCAGCAAATCATCCACTTCTTGCATATCCATTTTCATTTTCTTCTAGCTCTATTCTGATTTAGAGCCTTCCTTCAGTTAAGTCTTCTATTTCACTTGTTTTAGAGGCATCTGAATAAATGTATCTCGTAAGGTTTACAATTTAGTAAATTTTAAGAGAGTTTGGTAGAAGTTGATACTTTCTTTCCCACTGGCAAATCAAAATTAAATTTCAGTAATAGATTTTTTTAATTCGTTTGGGGACTGGGTCTCACTACAGAGCAGGCTGGATTCAAAGTCATGATCCTTGTGCCTCATACAGGAGTATGCTGCCACACAGACTTTCTTCATTTTAGCTGAATAAGTGACTGTCTAGAATAAAGGCTGTATTTCCAATCTGTCCTCAGGCAATCATGACCACATATTAAAGCTTTAAAATTATATTTGTGTGTGTGTGTGTGTGTGTGTGTGTGTGTGTGTGTGTGTGTGTGTGTGTGTGTACATATGCACCAAAGTGTCTATGTGGAGGTCAGAAAAGAACTTGAAGAAATCCATTCTCTGATTCCATCTGTGGGTCCTGGGGATCAAACTCAGATCATTAGGCTTGGTGACAAGGACCTTTATGGGCTAAGCCACCTTGCTGGCCCACATACTAAGATTTTACCATAATACATATGCATCAGAGGTATAAATGTTAGGAAGTTTTGTGAACGTATGGAACATGCCTTTCTCCTTCCCTTTGTACTTTTCTCTCTACTCCGTGGGATCTCCACACAATTTACTTGATCACACAACTTCCTTTAGCTAATGAAATATGAATATGTAGGACACAGAACACACTTACTCAGAGGCCTGCCAGGAGTTTCTGGGGGTTGGGAAATCGGCTCAGTAGCAGACTGCTTGTCTAGCAAGCATAGGGTTCTTGGGTTTGGTTCCTGCCAGAGTGGAGAGACCACCTGAGTTTGTGTGACTTGGTCTCCTGTGTGCTTGCTTTTCTACTGCGAGGAAACCAAAACCTGGTGATAATTGCTGTTTGTATTCTGGGTCTTTGAATGGGAGATATATAGAACTGATTTAAATTTGGCTTGTATCTGGAATACAGCCAAGGTAGTCACGTCCCCATTCCTGCCAGTTTCCAATTTCTAATTAGTGAGAAGAAACAAGCAAGCAAGAAATCAAAAAAGCTGTTTATACACCACTGAATCCATAAGGGCAATTCTTAGGAGCTAAACACTAGGGTTTTTTAATTTCTTGCTCTGAATTTCTGTTTATCAGTAATGAATAATGCTATTATAAGACTCATGTGCCAATGTGTTTTTTAAAGATTTATTTATGTATTTTATGTATATGGGTGCTTTGTCTGTATGTATGTGGTATATCTATACACCAGGAGAAGGAAGGCAGCAGACAGTTGTGAGCGGCCATGTGCCTGATGGGAACTGAACTCAGGACCTTCGGAAGAGCAGCGATTACTCTTAAACACTGAGTCATCTCTCTAGCCCATACCAATTTGGTTTTTTGTTTGTTTGTATTTTGTTTTTTCCAGACAGGTTTTCTCTATGTAGCCCTGGCTGCCCTAGAACTACCTCTGTAGACCAGGCTGGCCTTGAACTTCACAGAGATCTACCTGCCTCTGCCTCCCAAGTGCTGGGACTAAAAGAACGTGCCACCACTGCCTGGCTCATACAAAGGGGCTTTGTAAAACCACTTGTAAAATCATTTTGCATTTCCAACAGCAGTGTGTGAGGGACCCAATCTCACCCTTACCAAAACTTTCTCCTTTGGTCATCCTCATAAGTTTGATGTGGTATCTTAGTAAAATTTTGATTTGCATTTTCTTAATGACTATGTGATCACCTTTTCATGTTCTTACTGCTATTTGTATATCATTAAAGAACTGTCTCTTTAACTCCTTCCCTTCATCTCTCTCTCTCTCTCTCTCTCTCTCTCTCTCTCTCTCTCTCTCTCTGCTCTACAACTGAGCTATATCCTCAGTCCTCACTTTCCTTTTTAAATTTTGAGACAGGGTCTCAGTTGCTCAGGTAGGCCTTGAACTTGTGACCTTCCTGCCTCAACCTCCCCAGTAGCTGGCATCTTTTCTTTATTTTAAATGGTGTTGTCTTTTCTGTTGAGTTTTGAGTTATTCATATATTCAAGGTAGACCATAAGAGACATAGTTTGCAAATTATTTTCCCAACCTGCATTGTTTTCTTTTTAGATTTGATGTGCATGAGTGTTTTGCCTACATGTATGTATGCATACAGGTGTGGTTGGTGCCCACAGAGGTCAGAAAGGGCATCAGATTCCTGAGTCTTCTGCAAGAGCAGCAAGAGTTTTTTTGGGGGAGTGGGGGGGTTGGAGGAGGGATTGAGGTATGGTTTCTCTATGTAACCCTGGCTGTCCTGGAACTCACTCTGTAGAGCAGGCTGGCCTTGAACTCACAGAGATCTGCCTGCCTCTACTTCCTGAGTGCTGGAATTAAAGGGTGTACCACCATGCCTGGCACAGCAAGAGCTCTTAACCACTGGACCATCTCTCCAGCCGCCTGTATTATCTTGCCATTTGTTTTTTCAGATAGACTCATTATGTAATCCAGACTATTTCCCAATTTGAGATCTTCTTGCCTTGGCCTCCTGAGTTCTGGGATTACAGGCACACACCACTGCACCTGGGCCATTTTACTTCTTGACAATGTCTATATTAGTCTGTGAGGGCAACCATATCAAAGTACCACAGATTGGACCTGAAATCATTGGAGAGTAAATTTTTTGTTGTTGTTGTTGTGTTATTTATTTGTTTGTTTAAATTTTTTAATTTTCATTTTATGTGCATTGGTGTTTTGCCTACATGTATGTCTGTATGAGGGTGTCAGGTCCCCTAGAACTGGAGTTAGAGTCCGTTGTGAGCCGCCATGTGGGTGCTAGGAATTGAACCTGGGTCCTCAGGAAGAGCAGTCAGTGCTCCCAACTGCAAAGCCATCTCTCCAGCCTATTTGTTTGTTTTTTGAACAAGGTGCAGCCCAGCCTGGCCTCAAACTCAGTGTGTGTGTGTGTGTGTGTGTGTGTGTGTGTGTGTGTGTGTGTGTGTGTGTACGCGCGCGCGCACGTGCATGCGCATATATCCAGGAATGGCCTTGAATTTATGATTTTCCTGCCTCTACCTCCCAAGTGCTGGGATTACAGATATTTGCCATCATACCAGGCTAACATGAGTCTGAAAGGAACCTAATTCAATCCATAACACTCTGCCCTCCAGACTTCTAAATTAATGTCCTAACATATACATTATTTTGACAGCCCCCGAATTCTTATCCCATGTCAGTGTCAAAAAACTCCAAATCCAAAGTTTTATCAAAATATAGGTAGATACTATGATGCCAAAATCCTGTAATTCCAGCATATGAGATACTTGAGGCAGAAGAATTACTTGTGCCTTGGAGTTGGGCAATACATTGAGACACCTCCTCCCAGACCTGGAAATAGGAGAAAGGAAACCAAGTAAAAGCCTCAAGAGAAAACAAAAATTAGAAAACCAACAAGGTTAAATGTCCCTAATCTTAAAAATCTGAAATGCTCCAGAACTTCCTGAGCACCACTAATGATGCAACAAATAAAAATGTTCACACACATTAACCTTTTAGCATAAAATTATTTAAAAAATTTAATTACCTCCAGGCTATTGATTTCCATATACAATAAAGCTTTTTTTTTCCCAGAAAAAAAAATGCCCTTTGTGATATATTTATAAGTTACAATTCCACTAGACTTTAAGGCGCAGATGAGAAATATCTTGAAAAATAAAGAGTTTTTCTGGCTAAGTTACCTGGATACCCCAAGAATGAGCTCTTTTAATATGCTTGCCTGGCAGGCATCCGGTCACCTTGTTTGGCAGCACATCCTTTAAGGATTAGTAAGTAGTCTTGAGTACTGAAGAGAGTGGAGTCTACAGCAGATACCGGAGCTACAAGGACCCAACTGCAATGCTGGGAAGGAAGTGGGTAGAGAACCTGGGCAGGATGAAAACGAAATTAGTGAATGAACAAAAAACAATACAGATAGTAAAATGTGAACGGGATAATAAGGGAGCAGAAAGTTATAACGGTGGGAGGTAAATCTGAGTGAAATAAGTCTTGCTTAACTCTTGTCGGCTCCAAGGCATTTTAAGCTATCTTCATGAACCCTTGGAGGCGGGGACTAAATATAATTCACACCACCCTTAGTATTTGGGAGCTACTTTAATCTACATCCTTGAACGAATGGCTGCTGTTACTCTCTTTGCACGGCCCCGACAAAAGGAAGCCTACCGCGGTTTAGCACAAAACTGGGTTGCCTGAAATAAGGCAGCTGCAGCCCGGTGGCTTCGCCTTAGTGCTTGGTGCTTTGGGCACATTGCTGGCACCGCCTGTGGAATTAGTTCCCGCCCATGACCATGCCCCCGGCACAATCGCTATGGAAAAGTGATGTACCATGTGGCCCACGGACAACCCAATGGCCCGGAACACTACCTTCAAAGCCAAAGCCAGCGTGCCCTAGACAAACGATGCCCAGGGCCACGCTAGCGACGATCACAGAACCGCTCCTTCAGGCGGCAACGGGTAACGGTCCCCGGAGGGGGAGGGGCGGCTCTCAAGTCTGGGAAAGGGGTCCCGCTGCGGGCGTCTCGGAGTCCCTTCCTGAGGCTGAGGGAGGCTCCGCCGCCGGTCGGCTTGCGGCTGCAGCCTCTCCAACCTTGGGCTCCCCTCCCGTGGATCCGGGCTCCGTGTCTGAGGAGCCGCGTTACGTGTGGATGCCCCGAAATGCGACTCTGTGCCGGGTTATCACCGTTGCCCGAGCCACCGTCTTCCCGCCTCTACCCTGCCAGGTATCCCGCCAGTGAAGTACCCCGGCGGTCGCGAGCGACTGTGGCCGGTGAGCGAGAGGGGAGGAGCTCGAGCACGGAGGAAGCGGAGCCTGGGTGTGGAGCAAGGGGCTGAGGGCGGGGCTTAGGAGAGCAGAAGGCGGAGCCCAGGGGGATGGAACTACGGGCTGAGGGTGGGGTTTAGGAGCGAAGAAGGCGGAGCCCAGGGGGACGGAACTACAGGTTGAGGGCGGGGATTGGGAGCGCAGAAGGCGGAGCCCGAGTGTGGAACTACAGGCTGAGGGCGGGGCTTAGAAGCACAGAAGGCGGAGCCCAGGGGGATGGAACTACGGGCTGAGGGCGGGGCTTGGGAGCGCAGAAGGCGGAGCCCGGATATGGAGTTACAGGCTGAGGGTGGGGCTTAGGAGCGCAGAAGGCGGAGCCCAGGTATAGAACTACAGGCTGAGGGAAGGGCTTAGTTGCGCAGAAGGCGGAGCCCAGGTCTGCAGTAATTAGGCTGAGAGCGGAGCTTAGGCGCGCAGAAAGAGGAGCGGGTTGGTGGACCCTGAACGTGGGGGGTGTGGGGGAAGAAAAGGTGAGGGCGCGGCTTGTCGCTCGCGGGGCGCAGCCAGGTGTGGAACAATTCCCTGAGGGAGGTACTTAAACGTGCTAGTGTCGAGGGGTCAGCTTAGGGCGGGGGACTTGGCGCCCCATGCCTGTCGTGTTGGCCTGTGCCCTAGCGTTTGTCTTTACCTGGCTAGTCGCTCGTGGCGGTGGCTGGGGAGGGCAGACTGCAGATGATGCTTCCATACTCCTCCCAGCTGGTCAAAGGGATGGATCGCGCCCCAGCGCATCCTATTCCCACCCAGCAGAGCTCCAGAATCTCGAAGAAACTCAGGAGGTCACTGTGGAGGTCCTCCCTGAGAGGTGGGAGGTGCGGACCCTAGGTTGGGAGGGAATGAAAGTGATGCTCTGATGCAGCGAGGTAGTGAGCAAGTGCAGAAACATGGGAGCCCTGAAGCTTGTGGTGAAGCAAGGGTGGTTCTGTTGGGTGGGAAATACTGAAAATGATCCTTCTTTGCCTTATTTTTAAAGTGGTGTGATAGACGATGGAAGGCTCGTATTTCAAAGGGGCAATGGGCTGTAGATGTTGGCCTCAAGACATCTGGAGAACTTACAGCACCAGGTCTTACAGGGGTTTGGTTCTGTTTCTTTTAGCAATATACCTAAGAAAGTAAAAGAGGGGAAAGTGGGTCTGGCGAGATAGATAATTCAACCAAACATCTTCCAAGTTTGGGATCTATATAGTGGAGTGAAGGACTGACTCCCAACAAGCTGTCCTCTACCTCCACCTGAGATCCATGGCACGAGTACACACATGTACACATACGTGAAAGGACACACAAAATAAATAAGACCTTACATTTTAAAGCTGTTTTTAATTTAAAAAGGAAACAAATGTCATCTGTCCCTCTCACTTTCCTGAAGGCAATCACTATTTCTTGTCCTACCATCACAAGTCTGTGCAATAATGAGGCTTTTAGCGATTTTAAATTACATTAGTATACGAAATTATAATCTGGGGCTTGAGTAAAAGCTGTTCTTCCAAAGGATCAAGGTTCAGGTCCCAGCACCCACATGGCGGCTCACAACTGTCTGTAACTTTAATTCCATGGCTTCTGACAGTCTCACACAGACCTCCATGCAGGCAAAACGCCAATGCACATAAAATAAAAATAAGTAAATCATTAAAAAAGAAACTATAACATTTAACTCACACTATTTTATAACAAGGTAGTTTAAAAATAGTTTTAGCACTCTTATCAATGCCATTTTGAGCCCAGCCTGATATACACAGTAAAGATCCTGTCACAAAATACAAACTGAGGCAGCCGGTGATGGCATACATCTTTAATCCCAGCACTTGGGAGGCAGAGGAAAGTAAATCTCAAGAGTTCCAGGCAAGCTTGGTCTACAGAGTGAGTTTCAGGACAGCCAGGGCTACACAGAGAAAGCCTGTCTCAAAAAAAAAAAAAAAAAACAAACTGGAGAGATGGCTCGGTAATGAAAAGCCTTGCTGCTCTTGCGGAGGACCACAGGTAAATTCCCAGTGTCCATGTAAGGCAGCTCACAACCACTCACTCCAGCTCCAGAAGGATCCCAGTACCTCAGACTTACACACATACAAATAATTAAAATTAATGAAACTTTAAAAACAAAAAACCTTATCAAGGGGAAAAATTCAGTTTTAGAACATTTTCATTGGAGAGTGATAGTTTCTTTAAGTGAATTACTCAGTCAATTAGAAAACCCTATCAGCAAGCTTTCAGGCCTTGTTGGGCTAAAACGAATTGGTTAATTTTGCACATGAATGGCTCTTTTACAATTTAGAGGATATACATGATTTTAACATTCTTAAGTTTGTATTGGTCTTTTATTATTTTTGTGTGCATAGGTGTTTTTCCTTCATGAATATTTATGCACCATGTGTGTGCCATTCCCAGAAGACCAGAAGAAGGTGTTGGGTCCCCTGGGACTGGTTATAGATAGTTACGAGCTACCACGTGGGTGCCGGGAATGGAACCCAAGTCCTCCTAGTAAGCAGCTAGTGCTCTTACCTGCTGAACCATCTCTTTGGTCACCTTGTACAGTCTTCTGGAAAATATTGGTTCATTGATTTATGCAGGCCTTCCATACATGGCCATATTTCATTCAATAAATTTTTTTAAATCTCATTCATTAACACTGCCACCTAGTAAGTATTGATTGGTAAGATGTCAAACTCACCATGTAGCTAACAAAAGGTTTTCAAAATATATTTTATGAAAGCTCGCACTTATCATTGGCAACACACATTATCCCTTATTGTATTTGAAGTGACAAGGTCATTTCTGTAACTGTTGAGAAAATATTAACCAGTGTTGAAGCATGAATTAGCATAGGTTGTCAGTTCAGTGTTTTTAAGTTAGAATGGTGTTCAGAGAGAAAAGCAGTGTTATTGACAGATTTCATAATGTTATTAAATTTGAATTGGTTAGCTAGCTGTTCACTGTACTTTATTATCATTTTTGATAGATTCCCGTTAAGTATTTTTCTAAAATATTTGACATATATTGTACAATTTTAGTCTTGAGCTAGACAGCATAAATCTGTCCCTTCTTTCAAAATAATGATATAACACAAAAAGATCTTATTAAGTAGATATTGAGTGACACAAAGAATTGCTGCTAGGCATGATGATGCAAGCCTTTAATCCCAGCCCTTGGGAGACAGATGGAGACCCTGATAAAAATAATAGTAATAATTTAAGATAGTTCTGTATAATTTGGCTTGAGACTGGTTCTGTAAGGCTTTATACTATTTTCATTAAAAAACCATGGTTAAGGGGTTGGGGATTTAGCTCAGTGGTAGAGCGCTTGCCTAGCAAGCACAAGGCTCTGGGTTTGGTCCTCAGCTCCAAGAAAAAAAACAAAACAAAACAAAACACTGTTGAAGCTGGGCATGGTGGTACACGCCTTTAATTTCAGCACTCAGGAGGCAGAGGCAGGTGGATCTCTGTGAGTTCAAGGCCAGCCTGGTCTACAAAGTGAGTTCCAGAACAGAGAAACCCTGTCTCTAAAAACAAAAAACGAAAGAAAGAAAGAAAGAAAGAAAGAAAGAAAGAAAGAAGGAAGGAAGGAAGGAAGGAAGGAAGGAAGG